TGAGTGTATTTCGCAGCCTTTTTAATACTTGCACAGGTAAAATGGAAAGACTTGTTAAAATTTGGGGAGTGCACCAAACTAATGAGCCCCAAACTGAGCAAAACCGGAATTTGGTTAATTGTGATTGATCTCAACACACCAGTTACAAGGAAAACTGAAATGTGATTATTTCTTACCAACCTTAAGATGTGAACACTCATGCTGCATAACCTAAGGACACGATAATTCGGGCCACCACCAAACCGAACAAGGATGAGACTGCAAGAAGTGACTTCACAAACATATTGCTAGGCATTATTTGGAATAGCCTTGTTCCGCTTCCATACTACACCTACATTTTTGTGGAACTTTTTACGGACGACTTTTGTGGTGGATTCGTTTTTGTGCACGATTGCATGGTCTATTCGCTTTATCTTACTCAATTCTAACCTTCATTTGCATTAACACGTCCCGTAAGTCTTTATGACGTGTCTCCTCAGGTAACTCGATAGATATTCTAGAACCGCGAATGACGGTGCCTCTGTATTGGGGCAGCCTATGTCAAATTCATCAACGCGTAGCAGATTTTCGTATTGGTCGTGTTGGTAGTTGGTGATATGGGGGCAGTTCTAAAGCAAAACGTACGATCGAAGGGAGGAAACACCATGAGTGACTCGGACAGCAAGAGAAACGGCAGGCTAGAAAATAAGAGCCTAGTTTTAATAAGAGAAATCAGCGCTTAAATCAGTAACAGAGACAGTATGCGTGAGCCCAGGCCAGCGGACAGGATAGCAGTGACTAACCGAACATACGCAAGCATACTGGTAATGTAACAGCTTGAACCGGGTGAAAAAATCAGACAGGAGGAATAGACTACTATTAGACTCAGGGAAAGATCCCAGGGGAGAACAGCCCGTCCTCAGTGGTCTAACGTGCCGGTGTTTAAATGGCACGTGGTCCCACGGGGCAGTCCCGTCTACACCCAATGACCCCCTGCTCAGTGCTTACCACCGAAACGAGAAATACACAAAAATTACTTAAAAACATAACATAACATAACATCAACGTAACTTAAAAACATAACAAACAAACAAACATTTTCAGCAACCTTATGAATAGTACATTACAAATATATACATGCATTGCGATATCTCGAATATAGTAGCGACTGAAACATGAGGCTGCCCGGTGCAGCACATTCAGTTGCCTGGAAACATTACAAAAGAGAGGTTCAGCTGCGTTCCAGGTGAGTTTGCAGGTTAGTTTGCAAATTGTGTATATTCGCTGGAAACAACCGTCTAGTAACCTGATACGAGGTCACATTTAAAACAAAATAAATACAGCTGCCACAAGCAAGAAAACTCGGGGTGTAGAAAGGGGATCATTTTAACACTGCACACGACGTTCTTGTCCGGAGATTTGGTAGTCTGTGGAAAACAAAAGCGGTCCGACTAGATGCCGCATGTGAATAGTGGGAAAAGGGAGGGTTGACAATGAGCTACTCACAAATAGCTGATGATAATTCGTGTTTGTAGCTGCATGCGATACATGCTCCTTAAAAATAGTCAGGGATTCGGAAGCCTTTTTATATGAATGTAAAGATGACCAGATACCAAGTTGAGGTGTCCCGTGGTTGTCCAACTTCTGGCACCGAGTTTAAATCATTTTTCACTCCGCATCTTGGCTTGCTTTGGGTCTTGCGACTTTTATCAAGACACCGGTTAAAATGCCGGAACTTCTTGACACTAAAAAGACATTGTTTCATTCATAGACCTTTTTAGATGCCGTGTTATATCTCCAGGTATGATTCACATGTGAGCGAAAGGGTATAAAAGCATCACAGTTTCTTTGCAAAATAATCAGTTGCAAGACTTTTATTGAGTGAAATTGACGTGAGAGTTTTTGCAGCTTCAGTTGAAATATATAATACCTACAGTGGCCGACAAACCAAAAAGGTGAGCGTATCACGCTATTTTGTGGTCGCATCTGCTCACAGTCCATCATTTTGAAGCGGATGTCAAGTGTAGGATACCAGCAACAACGTTCCGCAACCAACACTTACAATAAGAGACACGTGGGCAGTCCTCGGCTGTTTTTTAGTGTCCTAGCCAGTCGTCTTCCGGCCAGGAAAAAAACGTTTTCCGTGTCAGAACTGCAGTGAAACTGCCACGGGAGTTTACCACTTCAGAACACTCAAACCTTATTCCTAACACGTTTTCCAGACACACTGAGGATCTGATATTTCTCAAATCTAAGAGGTGAAATTGAAGGTGGAAAAATTGAATACAGAAGGGTAGTTCAATCCCCTTTTCATTTTAACTGGGCTGACTAGATGGATGTAGTAGGATTTATTGCTTGCCTCCCTCGGTCAGCAGAATCAACAATTAATTGTAGTTCTGTGAGGACAATAAGTATGCCTTTTTGTATGATGAATATAGACCGAGTTGTTTTCTTGGGAAGTGATAAAAGTCGCCAAGAAATTTAACCACTTCGTGGCGCTGAAACATCATTATTCCTGACCTGATCAACCTTAACACTTCACATTTACGGCTTCTTGGTGAAAGCGTTTCATTCAGTTTGCCAACTGCAAGCAGTAAAACTTTGTATAACTCACTGTTTCGTTGCTCACCACCAACCTAGTTGGGAAAATATCAGTCGCACTTAGTGTCGTTGCCCTTAGGACCTATCATTTTTAATCAATACCAACCTAGTTGGGAAAATATCAGTCGCACCTTAGTGTCAACAGATGAGATTAAAGTCAAAAATAGATCGACTGTCGTTGCCCTTGGGACCTATCATGTTTAATCAATGCCTCGTTCCAAACGCTGCTTGCATCTGAAAAACTGAAAAGTTTCCTTGTGAATGCATGGACTACGTTGCCCAGGGGTGCAGTTTATCAGAATGTATTGAGATAGATTTGTACTTTGATTTGAATGTGTAAACTCCATACGGCTCGGAGCTCTCGTGTGTTTGAACCTTTACTTGGAACCGAAGCCTACCTGCAGAAACCTCGAAACTTACACTACCCCTGATTTAACTTAAAAACTGAACAGAAATAAGAATAAACAATCGTGAGATGATTCTCAAACAAGAATGAGTTCCAACCCAGAGAGGAAGGCCAAAAAACAGTAGGTTTCATTTAAATCTATCGTGTACTACTGAGTATTCCAGCAGCGACTTGACTTTCTAATATCTACATGCCTAAAAAGCAGAAAATTACTGCACAGAATCGAAGTGTACAGAAAAGACACTTGAAAGCTGACAATTATGTGACACATGAATGAACGGACAAACGTACCTTGGGTAATGAAGTACCCGTTTCAGACACTGAATTCAATGTGCATTTGTAGAAATTCAAACGTTTGGCAGACTTGTTCCCCGTTCCAGGGGGAGCCGAACCTCCCCTTATTTCCTAGCGGATTGCTGTTACCTATTAGGAATTCAATGTGCATTTGTAGAAATTCAAACGTTTGGCAGACTTGTTCCCCGTTCCAGGGGGAGCCGAACCTCCCCTTATTTCCTAGCGGATTGCTGTCTACCTATTAGAAAATCATCTGCCTGCTTATAGTCTACGATCAGTACATTCTTCATTACTGCAGATCCGGATGTGTGAACTCCTAGCTGAGGATGGTACTGATCAGATAGTGGAAACTATTCCTTCTTTCCAACTAAAAAAATCACTAGATAAAAGCCACTGACGATTAATATGACTTTTCTTTAGATTTGAGCCCTACAGAATAAGCAACAATCCCTCCTCTAGGTCTTGTTTGTGTTTAGCCCGATAAGGCTTTATCAGCATCATTTCCTTGCAGTTTGCTTATGTTTCGCCTGATATTCATGTTGAATGACTGGGTTTCGAATACTCAAAGCAAGATACAATGGAGAATTTGGGCAACACACTAAAAATGAAGTCCACTAATCTGATCGTTCAACCTAATTGCGTCAGAACCCCTTGATTGGGCACACCACACTTTGAAAACTTGCCAAGAGTGGTATCTTGACAGAACTTTCGTTTATATTTACGCTAGTTACAAGTAACGTGGCGGTAACAAACACAAGACAGCAAGATAACGCGCGCCTTCACTCGTGTTACAGCGAAAATGCGGAACAAAGCTTGCATCCCGTCATTCGTCATCTTCATTTTTAC